AGGGTAAGTGTGTTAGTTACTGTGCCCACTACCGAAAAATAAAATATCGGTATTATACCGGTACTTTCGGTTGAACCTTCGCCCTATATAACCCTGTATAAGCCCTACCCTTATGGAAAGCGAAAAAATACCGGTATTTATATCGGTTTCGGTATAGCTTTGATGACATAATACCGGTAGTAAAGTCATACCGGTTTAAATCCCGGATGTTTAGTGGAGAAATGCCATATCGTAGGGTAAGTGTGTTAGTTACTGTGCCCATTAAGACGAAGTTTTCGGTGAATTACTAAGCTTCTTTTTAATATTTTGCTCGTTGGAATATTTTTAAATTATGTATTGATGTCTCTTGTATAAGTAAGATTTTTTTTGTAATTAAATATTATAAGTAATGTGTGATAGTAACGAAAATAAGGAGATCGATTTTTGAGTCAGTTACTGTGCCCTTATGTAAATGAAAATTCAGTTACTGTGTATCAGTTACTGAATACAGTAATGTTCGATGAGTGCAACGAACTCGGATCGATGTTTCCATACAGTACACCATAATATTTAATTTTTGTAAAATATTACGTTGTGTCTGAAATTATTGATTATTGAATAGTGCCCTTTTTATTTTATACTATTATGTGGTTATTTATGTTGTCCACAATTTTTTAGTCAATATTTTAATCATTCCAAGATATTTAATAACATCGGTCATCGGTGACCACCGTCAGAATCCACGTGTTAAGGGAGAAACCACCCTTTCTATTCGAAGCGTCATTTTACTTATTCCCTTGTAATTGGTAAACTATAAAAAGTATCGAAAAGAAGTTTACTTAAATTTTATATCATTTTTAGTTGTCCATATGTCGATAGGAAAAACGTTTCGGAACAATTATTTTCAAGAAAAGGTGTTCATTAACTTATATTTTACCTTCATTACCCATCACTAGTCACAGCAGCCGATCCATTTCGCCCGATTAGTCCCTCAATTATACCCCCTAATTTCGGTTCAGTGTCGCCGTGGCCAATCGACGGCCGGACGATTAAAAATTCGAGTCGGGCACCGGATTTATCGCGGTAATGAAGGCTGACCCGCAAAAACACCGTCGGAATAGCCGAGGAATGTCGGCTCCGTGCCGTGGAAATGATGCCGCTGATTTTTTGCCTCGTCGGAATACAAACAACGTGATTTTCCGGTTCGTTACGCGCGGTGTTCTGCATACAGGACGGTTCTAAAATGTTTGAATAGACGTCGTTCGAGCTGGGGATTCTGCGGTGGTTTGACCGGTGGATTTCGAGTGGTCAAGGTCGGTTCTTTTGCTTTTGGTGGATGCTAACCCTTACATGGGACTACTTGATGATGTGCTTGTAAAAAAACGTCGCAAAGGGAAATGTACTTTTGATACAAAAATCACTGTTTTCTAGTGAAGATATAGTAACCTGTACAGAGCATGACCGAAATAAAGTTATAAGGGGGTAACAGAATATCTCCTTCGAAAGGAATTAATAAAAAACTGCGGAATCAAGTTTTCTTGTTATGGGCTTAGGTTTCGATAGAATCGACACTGAAGATTTGTCTGGTGTACATTTGTGCTAACTGTAAGTAGAAACAGTAATTAATGAACAAACATATTAGAAGAGTCTCGATTTATTGCACGCGTATCCATGGTTCTCAAAAAGTGATTTACTCGAGAATTAAGCCCACATACGAAAAAGTCGTATTCTGCGTATTTGACTAATTTTTTACTAACGACTCAGAAATGTTATTGGAATCATCCCTTTACCGTGGCAAACGAATGTCGAAGCTAGTTCAACCACGTGACAAAATGTAATCCTTAAATAATCCATAACACTAAACGCCCAAATAATTCTAGAAAATTTCACTGTTCTATGGACGTATTTATAAACATCAACTTTATGACGGTAAACATCGTATCACTAGTACCACTGCGCCAAATTTTGAATTAAAATATCTCCTAAACTAATGGTTTCTCGGTATAAATAGGTTAACAATTTTTTACATGAAATGACGAGCTGTATCGATCAAAGCCTTAAAAATGTATGGTTCCACTTATAAAAATAAAGTTGACCTTCGTATGTCCTCTACGCCACTACTTACAAAAAAACTTCGACATCAAATGATTTCCTCCTCGATACCACTCACCTTTCGTTTGAAACACTTTCTGGTATCACAAATAATTTCAGAGCCATCCAAGGGGATCGATTTAAATGGGACACTCTGTATAATTTCTCCATCTGTTCATAACAATTTTATTGCTCACGGTACATATGAACATTTTTATCACGTACGTAATCGATATATTGCGAAACAAACTTTTCTCACGTAAAAGCACGTTCCATTATATTTTCTACTCTTCTACAAACTTTCTGTTCCCCACCTGCAACACAGTACTGCATTCACTCGCAACGGAATGTAGATAATGAATTTGGGCAGATAAGAGGCGAGAGGGAAGAATTCGGTGAACTTTCCCCCATTTTCTCCAGAAGCTACGATACTGTTCGTCGTATAACGTTTATTATGCGACAAGATTCGCAGATCAGGAGGCCTTATTCCATTTCCGGGGGCGGCGGGTCGCGAGTTTTCCCATTCCTTTTGTCGGTCTGATTTATCGCCGCCCCTTATACTCGCGTGTACCGCCCCACTCGAGGCCTTTCGTCGCTTGTGTACAGCACTGTTCCCCTTGACTGATAGTCGGCTCCGCATCACCAAAGGTAAAGGATGTTCCTCAAGCCACGCACGTTCCTGGCATCCACGATTCCCAGCTTCCTGTCTGTACCCCGTCCTCAACCCCCTCCGACTTTAACCATATTTCTTCGTTTCCTTGGATGCTCGAGGGCGAAGGGACGAACATGGTGGCACTTTTTGCTACGACAAGCTGCATCTGTACATTGGCTGATAGAGAGGCGGAATAGTCGAACCGAGTGCAAGTAATGGTATCTACACTTTCGTGCACGTGAAATTGAAATTTCTTTTGTCTGGAGGATTATGGCACCCCGACAGTTAGTAACAAAAGAATTTAATCTATGTTAAGGTCGAGGGTTAATTTATAGAAGAGACAACCTTAATATTGACGTCCATACAGCCTTTATACCCCGTTGTTTATTATTGGGTTGTTTTTAAACACTTTTTTTATTTCAATAGAATGCAGTGCTTCTAATTAATATAATATATACATATTCTGAAAGTTGACACTTCAAGACGCCGTTTAAAAAGAAAATCATTAGGATTGCGGTAAGTTTTCTGGAATTGACTTTGTTTTGAAAATGAACGACTAGAAGGTGTGCTTTCGAGGGATTGCGTTTTTTCTTATTTCCTTTCGTTTACAACACCATCGACATGTATAGAAAACCATTTTATATTGTTTTTACCGCCTTTTAAATAAGAAAGCATAATTTCTCGAAAGAACATCTCGTCACGCATTTTCAAAACAAAGTCAATTCAAAGGAATTTAACACAAACGTGAGAATTTCTTTTTTGAACGACGTGTTAAAGTGTCAGCTTTCAAAACATGTGTTTGCATTGAAAATCAAGAAGGCATTATCTACTACAGAAATAGGAAATTACTTTTGGGCCAAGCCAATAATTTTACCGAAGATCGAAGGAGGCTATTCTACATGTAAAAATAAAACAAAAATGTAGAATAAAATTTTTTCATACGATGCTTCGGTCTCGAGAAAATCGAATTTGAATATCTATTGGATACGTGTGCAGTTGACTAAGACTTGGCTAACTCGTCTGTTCATTACATTCCGTTTCTACTCAAAGTAAGCATGAATACCAGGGACGCTAGATTTCGCATTCCCAAAGCAACGAGTTTGTGAGAAAAAAAGCCTGTGTCTCACATAGGACGTACCACACGCGCCCTCCACACTATGTAACGCTTACTGGTACTAATCCGTGGTGATATAACACACTTGAGAAATGTAAAGGACCCTTCAGATGTATGCAATGTTGATGAAATGTAAAAGAGCAATCTATTAATGGAGAAATTATTTATTTGCGTAATAATTTTAATAAATTAAAGTAATAAGTATGTCGAAATATTATCTACTTACCTGTACGTATTATTTATATTATTTTGTTTTTTTACATTTCATTAATATTACATACATCTGAAGGGTCCTTTCTGGTCCGTCCTACGCGAGACAACAGGCATTTTTTTTCGCAAACTCGTTGGTTTGAGGGTGTCAAATATAACATCCCTGATAAACTTTAAACACTTCTCAGGCATGAAGCCTATTATTAAGCTTCTTGATTTCGGTGCTTATCAAATTAAAAACTAAAGAAGAAATGGTTAAATTATATTATCAGGATTATCGTATTACTTCACATTATTCGCTATTCCGATTGAACAATTTGTTAGCAAGGTAGCTATTGATCGTTGTGTCCAAGAAATGTATTAATAGTCTCCAGCAAGCGAAACGTTAAGGCTCGTTTACACGTTCAAAGAATTTGCGCAAACGAACATCTGCATGCACATTTATCTAAGCAAATATTAATTTTATCAATTTTTATTAATTTCCATCAATATTTCCCATTTCAAGAAAATATACGATACACTGCTCAATCAAAAACCACTAGCCACACAAGGTGATGGTAATGCAGAAAATTAAAATAACTGTGCAAGGTAGACGGAACGTGTATTGCACAAGTCAGTTTGCACAACTTATTTGTACGTGTAAATGGTCCTTTTGACTGAAAATCCGTCCATAAACGTCGCGAAATCACTCTGACGAGAACGTGTTTTCCATGCTGTAACGTGAATTGCAACGACCGACTTGCCAAGGGAAAATTGAATTATTGTTAAATCGCGACACGAGCGGTGATAGGTTTCGCGAGGCCAGGACGTCTATGAACAATTCTCGGGCGAATCGTAACTGTTTCTCGAGCGTGTCAAACGGCGCCAACTCGTGTCACGGCCGACCGCCCACCCCGCGATCGCGACGTTAATGAGTCGCCTCGTTCCATAACGATGCTAATTTTTTGCTTGCAGAGGCCGAAGTCAGGTCGCCCCGTTTCACCGGCTCCGGTTGGCTGGCGTTCCCCGCCCTGAAGGCTGCCTACAAGCACGTCCAATTAGAACTGGAATTCCGTCCGGAGGCGTGGGACGGTATCCTTCTTCTCGCTGGAGAGAGGGATGATCTTCAGGGTGACTTCATGGCCTTGATACTGCATCACGGCTTCATCGAATTTAGGTAACGATGCACACACTCTGTAAACAATATTATCCGCTGCGTTGAAGCTGTAATTCTGTCGTGGAATTGGGACAATCTTCTGAGTTTCTTAAACCTTTGTCTTACGAGTTTTTCGAAGACTACAGTCTCCAGAATTATTTTTCATCGTTAATAATTTTTCAGGAATAAAAAACATTCTGTATTTATTGCAAGTGTGCATTAACTCGAAAAGTTAAATATTAATACTATTGAAATATTGATTTCTTCGACTTGAAGAAAAGGAATAACATTCAGGCTTTTTAAACCCATTTTGAATTCGTCAACACGAGTCTGACACGATGTTATAGAGCAAGGGGTTAAGGATCGCCCTACTGTGACGACTCAAAAATTAGCTACAAGTAGGGATTTTTGTAGGAAAAACTGTACAGTGTATCGATTTCAATCTGCTCTACATTAAATCACATACATTAAAAGAATACGACAATTTTTTTATGTACAAATATAGTAGACATTTAAAGTTACAACAGTTTCTCGGAAGTGCCTAAAAAAAAGTATCTCCATGACTGTCATGATAGCAGCTGTCCACGTTATCTTAAATCAGAAATTCAAAAAAATTCTTAGTCTGTATGAGCATGGCTATCGTTCATACTAGAATGAATGAAAAATAACAAAATAACGCTGTCTTGAAAACCATGTGTTAATTCCTGCATAAAGAATTACTTGTTTTTTAAGTCGTAGCATTCATATTTTTCAAATATCAACTGCGTTCTAGTAGGGACGAGAACCATACATATACTAAACATGTCTGCACAGCTTCGAGTCAATCCGTCAAATAGTTTTGAGGCATCGTGGTAGCCATTTACAAAAATGTCATTTAGAGATAACCGCATTTAAAGTTTTATATACCCTTATATTCTATATGCTCGCCACTCTGGTTCAAAGCTAATAACTTTCTTAATATTCCGAATCGGGTGGAATCCATTTCGGATTATGTTTTTGAAATGTTAAATTTGAGACAATGCAAAAAAAATCGATTTTTTTGATCCGTCACAGCAGAAAGAATCCTTGAGGGATCTGCTGATAAACTGGAAATTCAGTGGGAAGATGGTTCATTATTCACTTTGAAATGTAACCACATTAGGGGGTTAAGTTCCTTTTTTTCATGCAGCTTCGGTTGAGGGAAAAGTCTCGTCGATATACGATTTATTAATACGTTAATTTAATATGAGTAGATTGCGCATGTAATATTTACTTTCATGGGTTAATTTATAATAATTGAAACCAATTGGAAATTCGTGTTCATTTTATTAAGCGGTTCTATTGGGTTTTAACAGGCTTAAGAATCTTGTTAGTTTTTATAAAGCTTTACGATGTAGTCCATTTTAGGTAATAGTGTGTGATTGTGGTTTGAATCTATATAATCTGCAGTCTAATTATAAGTTTTATAAACCTTGCACATTGTAAGTCTTATATATGAGAATTATTTAAAACTTTGTTCAGATGATGGTTTTATACTTTTTAATTCTTTTATTGAGTCTTTTAAATCCTTCAAAGAATTAGTGTAGATACCCACATGTCAAGTTCTATGAGTACACTGCAAATTTAAGGTACTTATAATTCGCATAAATGTGTAAAATACAATTAAATGGACTATCAAAAAAAGTAGAATACAACATTTAGATTATTCATCACTTATTACAGTTAATTTTATTGCGTTTATTCTATTAATTAACATTTATGAAGTTGAATGAAATCAAATTAGTCGCATGAAAATAGATTCTCCTGAATCTTTTAAATCGCCATCTGCGTAATTATGATTCAAGAAACCATGAATCTCCCTGCCATAGGCACTCGTATTTCCTCTCTAAGAGGATTATTTTCTGAAGGCCGATTTGTCATGCAATAATTTTATAATAATTCTTGAGCAAGCGCCACAATTTGAACTTCCATTAGGTCCATAAAATGAATTATCCTGAAATTCAGTTAAGCGTTTCAACTACATTTTTTCCATATAAGCCCTATTCAATTATTATTACAATTACATTCTAATATTTAAACTTCTTGTGTGATACAAATTAGTTTATAAGCACAAAAATTGAATATAAATTCGTATACGTTGACGCAAATTCTGTCAGACAGAATTCTTAATAAAAAATTTAAAAACGGTCCCTTGACCGGCCATGGTAGCTTCAGCGTTAACAAACGATTTGTGTTTTAAAAAAGCTGTTATTTTTTATTTTATCTAAAAGTTAATGACAATGCAATTCAGTAAGTTATACAAGGTATTCACGCTATTACTAGCCAGCATTTTTCTCGCAAATAATAAGTACTAGAAAAAAAAAAGTCCTTAAAAAACCTTAAAAGCCACTGTATAACACGTTGATGAATTACTCCGGACAGATACTTTTACACGACATAAAAAAGTATACAGCATTTTGTTTAAAAAATCAAAGGTCACCTTTGTTTCCCGAAAAATATTGCAAACCTAAAAAATTGATAAATATTATTATGTTGGTCACAGAAAGTTGCAAAACCTTCTTCTATTTCATTTTTTTCTAATACTTACTATCTTGCGAGAAAAACAATGACTAGTAATAGTGTGAACACCCTTTATACTGTCTATCCTGTATTAATCATTTTTACGAGACATCACATTTTTCTCACACACACCAGATATCCTAGTGCCTATACTGTTCGCCATTAGAGATCCATCTGATCACGGGATTTTCGATCTCGTGGGATCCATCGCGTCATTAAATCCTCGTTTCGCAATCGCGAAGGGACGAATTGAATTCGGTAGCTGGCGTTCGACAAATAGGGGTGCCTCGTCTAAAATCAGAAACGACGTCGATCGATTGGAACGATATAACGAGTTCTCGCTGTTTCTCCCCCGCAACCGTCGTCGCGTCACCGTCACCGAATTATGCCTAGTAACTTTCCACAACTTCCGGCAATAACCGAAGTTTCCTGCCCCCCCCCCTTCCCGTCCTGCAAACTTCATTGGTCCATTAGCGGCGGGACATCAAAGGATTGGCGCGAAACCGCGATTTACTTCGATTTACCGCGATACACGTTGCTCCGTCAGAGGATCGTCTCGTACGCGATCGATAAACTTGGATGGAAATCGGAGTGAAAGACGCGTTCCGTTCATCGGGCTCGTCCCGACACGAGTGGCGAGTTAATTTCCATTGGCAGTACCGTGTCTCCGGCCTGCGGCGTTTGCCCGTATACACGAGGCTTGATTGCGATTTAAATTTCCCGGGCTCGGCCATTTCGGCCACCCATTTGTCACTGTGTTCGACCAGATTACATTGAATTCTACGTCTCGTGTAATTGTACGTTTTCTTTTATTTTTTCTTGGACATCGCGAACTTATTATGGAACATAATGAGACATTTGGGATCGAGACCCCAAGATACTCTTTACTCTTACTCCGTTGTTTTCATTCGTTGTATTACAGATATACGTGGATTTTTGTAGAATTCCTCGTAGTGGAATGGAAAGACAATTTATTCGATAGTTCGCAAAGACGCCAACAGATGACGCTGTTTAAAAGTTTTAGAATTAGTTCCAATTTCCGCCACCAAAGTGGTGGGGGCGCCACTAAATGTCCCATAATTTCCCAAATTTGTCCGCCATCTTGGATTCAGAAAAGTGCCGGAATAATTTGGGAATTTATGGGACATTTAGTGGCGCCCCCACCACTTTGATGGGGAAAATTGGAACTAATTCCAGAACTTCTTCCAAAACTTAAAAGTTTTAGAATTAATTATTTTGTTATTATTTATTATTTATTATTACTTTTTTGGTTAATTTATATCAGGAATAGGAGTGGAGATAGTGCGGGATTAATGAATAACGCATATGTATGGTTTGGAAATATACAATTTACAATGGTATTTGTATAAATTTAATAACAACCGCTTTAAATACTACTTATACGTAATACTACTAAATATAAAGGCACCATTTTCGCGTGGCCGACACAAAATCAGGTTGCTTCTATCTGTTTTGAATAAAAAGAAACCTAAATAATTATTAATCTATACGAGTGATACGCTAGTTTAAATTTGCGAGAAGGGTCAAGGAATCCCAACACGCAAATATGTCGTTACGTTTCCTGCCTCGCGTCGCCTTCGCAGGAGCCCGCGGCTGCCCGCCACTTGCCCGTGCGGGCAACATTCAAGAGCGGGCTCGATTGCCCATTACTGACGTAAACAGTCTACATCCCCGCCCAACAAACGCTCATAAAGGTCCGATACCGTCGACACAAGCGAACCCTAATGCTCGCGCGTGAACCCGCGTTAAATGAATCCTGCCTCCACGTCCCCACGGAAACCAGCCTTAAAGCTCCCACGAAGTATCGCGTAAATGAACCCTGGGTCGGCAGTATATTTTCCTTAACCCTTGGATGGCGAGGGGGGGGGGGCAGAAACGGCAAACTTTTCCGTGGGAGAGTTTTACGGGACACTTCAGCCCCGTAAGGCACCGACGGCGGGAGCTTGACGTGGTCATTAATTAAGAATTGTAGGCTGGGGGCTAATTTTTCGTTTACAGCTTAATAATCCATGACTTCCAGCGCGCGCCGACAGCCGATTTATGAATGCCGGAAGTTTCGACCGGCGCGAAAAGTTCGACGTGTCGGCCATTCGAATCTCGAGGCGCTGCGATTTAATCAGATGTAACGGGGGCGGATCACGGGCGGAATCCAGCGATGACTGGTGTCACCCACGGAGGCACTTACACACTTGTTGCACTATAGACGATGAAGTGTACAGCTAATGGTCGTGTTTTGTAAGCTCCTGTTGGCTATTATATTACACAGCCAAAGTTTAACGAACATTATGTTTATCTGAAACGTACTGTGGGGTTATAATAATAATAATAATAATAATAATTTATTTACGGGTCTGCACCCTTTCGTTAACAGAATATATAGAGCAATTTAGATACATAGTTAATAGCGTGTAACGATACATTCATGTTACATGATTTTTTGAACGTATTGACCTCCTGAAGGA